ATATACTCAAACATATAATAATTTTCCAAATCATCCTTGATTGCGCGTAGTTTTATTTTGTATACAATTGTGAAACGAGGCTTGTGATTGTAGAAACATTCGTTGTACCGATAATCGACCTCCGACGTTCCATCTCACATCCGTGAAGACTATATTTAAAGCGAGACAAAGTTGTGAGTATTAAAATTTGGAAAGTTCGTTATAATATATCCAGCCTATTGTAAATAGGAGAATATTTATAATTTAAGGTAATGCGAGTGTCGAACATCTTTCAATAAACTGATGAATCATCGAATGCTTTGAGTTAACCTTCTTCACAGAGCTCTATTTGTATTATTACTATTGTTATTATTGCGATGGTATGTCGAATTACGAAAGGCAAGGGATGCGTTGTCTTAATTAAATGCCAACGTTATCACCTTCGATACAGACGACTATTCGCTAATATATAATATTGGTGCAATTTTTTTTTTTTTTTTTTTTTTTTTGTAACGTAGTGTTTGTGCGTCATTGTCTATCGATCGTCTATTATTATCTCCGCTGCCACGTCCGCCAGGGCAATGAACCCCCTTCCCCACCCTGTTCCTAAGGAGCATTGTATAGCACTGCCGCCTTTTTATTTGACCTTACGTAATAAAAATATTTCTACTTGAGCGACGAAGGAATGCGTTGAAGGACACGGTGCGTCGTGTCAGTGCAATCAGATTTTCAAGAGTCATGCACGCACGTACAATGTACCATCCGATTGTAATATTTGGATTTGCCATTGTCATGTCGAATGCGTGTACTCCGCGTAAGGATTATTAAGAAATTAATGATCGCGATTCGCAGGACTTTCCCCTGTCTTTCAGCGTATTTTAAATCCATCAATTTCTGATATTTATGTATTGCCCAAACAAAGATTTGAATTAACGTGGCAAGCCTAATCGCCATTTTACTTTTTTTCTTCTACTTTTTTTTTTTTTTTTTTTTTTTTTTTTTTTGTCGGTTTAATGGATTATGCCGCGATGTCCATGACTAGGTTAAATGACGCTGGCAACCAATTCCTTAATGGAGTTCTCATAAAACCAGTGGACTCGGTTGCCCAGTTACTCATTAAAGCCAATGAAAGTAGCCAAATTTATATGCAAACCAGTGGCAAATTCCATTCAATCCATTTGCATTAGCATGGTCGTGTCGATTATATGTACAATCGTTCCGATTAGCACAAAACTAGTTGCTAAGTCCAATTTCCGATTATGTCGCTCTCGACCATTTAATTTTACAAATCGGAAAGATCAATCTCAATGACTAATTGACTGTAGTTCCCTTTTACCCTCCCCATTCTCCCAACCTTTTTCCCCACCACCAACTAATCATCTTACGAGCAATTAATTATTTCTGACGCTTGGATTTACAAACAAAACGAGCTGGTGCTATAAAATGCCAAAATAGGACGAGATCAATATTACGAGGACGTTGTATGTTGGATCGCATCCAATTAGACATAATGATACACGAACGCTAATTGATCGAATGAAAATAGTTCTGCATCGTTAGTGGCATGTATCTATAAACTCTTCCACGATAATGATTTCGTCAAAAGGCCCTTAAATTCTTAATTTATGCGACTCAGCTATGTCGATAAGAGGAGCAGAGCGCACGTTTAATTCGGTTAATTCGTACTCTCCCGTGTTAGGATAGTACATAAGCGAATTTGGCATATTTCTTTTAATCGAGCAGTGGGGATTAAAAATTGATAGGACTTGAATGATAGATGAATGTTGACAAGCAACAAACGTCTTCTTTTATTGTCATCCGTTACAAACACAATAGTGCGAATGCCTCGACAGCCGGTAATCGTAATTTCTTATAATTAAAGAGAACTTTAAATCCTTTCTTACGTTAATAATCAATTCATTTTCATTTTCACAAAATTTGACAATTATTAAATGTCAGGATTTACAAGTACGTCTCTTAATATGAATAAAAGAGGAAAAGAATGCAATGAGCGTTGTTTTGGAAGCGTTTGCCCGAATTAAATGCATAATATTACGACAATGAAAATCCATAAAAATCAATCTTGCTTTATCAACGTGCAATCACAACATTATACATCTCATCCTCTTCTTCTTTTTTTTTTTTTTCCCCCAATATATTGGAATTATGTGTATCGCGTATATACCGAATTAATGTACAATTTATAAATGCGAATGCAGATAACGATCGTTCGAACGCTTGAGTGTCGATATTATAACTCATAGATGATAATTATTAATTTGAGCGGCCGGATGAATTCGTGACGGCGTCTCGTAGAGCGTAAGCTCGATTAATCGCGTCGGTTTTGTCTTGATAATAGGCCGGGCGTATATATCGCGTCCTGGACAATCGTAAGACCGTGCTAAACATCCTCGACTAAATGTGACGAGAGAAATTACTATTAAAATTAGGGGCAATATGCCAAGTCATGCGAGCTCGTTAAATGCAATGAGACGAGCGCGTTTGGGGGGGGGGGGGTTTGGACGGAAAATTTCCCACTTTTTCTTTTAATGTATGTATGTATGTATGTATGTATGTATGTATGTATGTATGTATGTATGTATGTATGTATGTATGTATGTATGTATGTATATATATATATTTTTTTAAAGAACAAAAAATAAAAAAATAAAAAAACAAAAGGCAAAAATACTACTACAGTAGTACTAACACTACTACTGTATACTCTTCGTAAATTATGTCGAGTAAGAACTTAACAGAAAAGGGTGCACACAGAGTATGTACGACGTGTAATCGTAGAAGCAGCGCTAGTATTGCTTATTGTATAATTGTAAAATGTAGTTGGATTTACGTAAATCAATAAGTCAGTAAAATCGTCCCGATCTAGCCTTTCTGACGAATTAATCCTCGCTCATGGTGATACTATAATTTCCTTTAATATTAAATAGTCTCGCAATAGTGTAAAAGTATGAGAGTCGACATTATTAATTTTCACATCAGGGAACACGTGTGACGGAGGTTCGATCAGCATGGGTGGATTACTTTGTATAACAATTAATTAACTTATTCGAGGATTCTCCGATGCGAGCAATGCGTCGTTTAATTTAGTGGACATTGCAAACGGATTGGCCATCGTAACGAGTCGTAAACGTTTTAATTTCATTACTCTACTTGGCTTCTATTATTATTTGAAATCATTTAGATTCGATTTCAATCGTAAAAGTTCCTTACTCGCGAAAGATCTTGTTCCATCTTAAATTTCGAACCTCTTACATACATACACATATACATACAATTAAATCTGAGATAAGGATGGGGGTGGGGTGGGGTGTTTTTTAAAGGGATGGAGGCTCGTCAGGGCTGGCTACCATATCCAAGCAATTTCTTGACCAAGGGTCAACTGAATCGTTAAGCTGTTCGTTCGTCATCCGTTAATTCCGAATGAGATTTTACGTACCTTCGTTGTTTTCATGAGCGATTATGTTGTGCGTGCGTGTGTGTGAGTGTGCGCGCGCGCGCGCGCGTCAATGCGAAAAAAAACAAGATAATAAACCGCAGCTTTGATGGTTCGCTCATAAGGTTTATTCCCCCCGACTGTTTATTAAATTAAGAAACCACATACACGTGTCATTATATTAATTGATGGAAGGAGCTCGAGGTCCTGTGATCCCTCTTCGTCCCCGTCGTCGTTATTAATCGTTGATAATCGATTAATCGACCTATTCATTACTATTTGCTTTCGTCCACTATCAGCGTCAGTTATCATTCGCGCCCCCCCCCCCCC